ATGCATATTATAATCATGAATTGTTAAAAACTATCCTTTGTGATGTCAGGGAATTATATAGTCCATTTTGGAAAAATGTCAATCAAAAATAGTTTGAAAAGTTGAGGCACCTGTACACCCAAGGATTCAATCAAGTTTAACCTACCAGTTTAATTAAATGTTTATAGTGTACAGGGGATAATATAGTCAGATAAGATACAGACCTTGTAGAGCTTAGGATTTAGCAAGGGATATTTGCCTGACAGGGATATTTGTATGGCTTATAAACACAGGGGTAGCATGCCTTAGGGAGAAAAAGAGAAAATGATTGCCTAGCTTCTTTCTCCTCTTGTCTCCCACTGGTCTACTCCAAAGGAGTTAACTCCCTTGTACTTTTAGGCTGTGTCATCTAGTTCCTTAGATTGCCAATTGGAATGCTTGATTCCATGTCCCACAGTGTGGTGTTTCATCCTAGTCCAGATGTGGCAGGAGCCTGAGGGCCTGGCATCCCCAGGCAAGTGACTAATTGGCCTCCAGTACCAGCGCCTTTGGAAGGAAGGGGGTAGTCAAGGGACTCCAAGGAGGTACATGAGGTTTGTATCCAATACAATCCTGAAGGACAGACAGGATTCTGAGAAGCAGAGATGAAAGAGGAAGGCGTTTTAAAATGAGCAGTGACATAAAGGAAGAAACATGTGTGCTGCATTTAAGATAAAGCAAGTGCCTTGTTGGCTTCAACAGAGATGTGACCATTTCTTAGCCCATATTTTCATGGCTTGTAGTTATTCTTGAGTTTTTTCCCCTCTTAAAAGGTACTTCAAATATATAACTAAATGTTTATTCCTTCATTAGATTTTTTTTTTTGTATGAATAAATAGGTGGAAGAGGAGGCTAGAAATGGAAGACTCCAGATGTGAAGCCGTCTTGATTCAGTCAACAGTAGGGGTCATGGAGAGTCTTGAGCAGGGAGTGGGGTGTTCAAGAGTGAGGGGGGAAGGATGATGGGGTTTAAACCACTCCCTATAGTTCATCATTCATTTCTGCTTGATAGCCTCACACAACTTCCCTTTTGCTATACTGGTGGTAGCAATAACAATAGAAGTATGAGCAGTAACAGTAACAACCACCACAACCATGGCTCATCCCATAGCTTCATTCACATCTCTGTTCCAATGTCACTTTCTCCAAGGCCTTCCTGACCACCTGATCTCAACTATAAACTGGCATCTCCCTACTCTGGTTAGTCTCTAGCTTCTTGCTCTGCTTTATTGTTTTAATAGTATTAAGTTAGCAGACATTATATTATATATATATTCATTTAGTTGTTTTCTGCCTGTTTGCCTTACCAGAAAACTTCATAAACTCAGAGACTTTGTCTTCACCAGTCACTGCGCGACTGTTCTAAGCACCTGATGGGGTTCTAATGTAACTTCATTGAACTGTATGTGTGCTGATTCTTTGTAATCTGTTGATGCTTGCTTTATTGATTAGTTCATTGTCAGTTTTTGAAAATATTCCATGTGTGCCTGAAACAACATGCATTTTTAAGTTTTTTGATGAAATATTCAATTTATGTGTATTAGCTCAAGCTAATTGTGTTTTTCAAATCTATAATTGTTTTACTAAAATCTATATCCTTATTAATTTTTTTGCCTACTGAATCTATTAATTACTGAGGGAAATATGGTTTTTTTTTGAATTTTTTTATTATGTTAATCACCATACATACTGAGGGAAATATGTTAAAGTTCCCACTATGATTGTGGATTTGTCAATTTCTCCTTAAATTTTTATTAATTTTTCATAATGTATCTAAGCTTGTGTCATAAGTTGTAGACAAGTACAGGATTTAAAAATTTTCCCAATAGGGGCACCTGGATGGCTCAGTTGCTTAAGCATCCAACTCTTGATTTTGCTCAAGTCATGATCTCAGGGTCATGAGATTGAGCCCCGCATCAGGCTCTGCGCTGAGGGTGGACCTGCTTAAGATTCTCTCTCTCCCTCTTCCTCTCCCCCTTGCTCTCTTTCTCTCTCTAAAATAATAAATAAATAAAATTTTTCTCAATAAATTATTGGATTTCTTTATTATGTAATGATACTTTTTTTTTTTTTTGAGAGGGAGAGGGGGAGAGAGAGAGAGAGAAAGAAAGACAGTGCCCCTGCCTATGGGGGGAGGTGTTGGCCAGGGGCGTGGGCAGAGGGAGAGGGAGGGAAAGAATCTTAAGCAGGCTCCATGCCCAGTGCGGAGCCCCAGCCTGGCTTGATCTCAACAACCCTGAGATCATGACCTGAGCTGAAATCAAGAGTCGGTCACTTAACCAACTGCGCCACCCAGGTGCCCCTGTAGCGATACTCTTTATCCTTAATTTACCTAATACTGCTTTTTACCAGCTTTCTTTTGCCTAGAATATCTCTTCAATCCTCTTGCTTTCAACCTATGTCCTTACATTTTTTTTAAAAAGTGTGTTCTTGGGGTGCGTGGGTGGCTCAGTCGTTAAGCATCTGCCTTCGGCTCAGGTCATGGTCCCAGGGTCCTGGGATCGAGCCCCGCATTGCGCTCCCTGCTCAGCGGGAGGCCTGTTTCTCCCTCTCCCACTCCCCCTGCTTGTGTTCCCTCTCTCACTGTGTCTCTCTCTGTCAAATAAATAAATAAAATCTTTAAAAAAGAAAAGTGTGTTCTTTATAATAAGTGCTTTTAAAAAAAAGCTTAGTCCTGTTTCTTTGTGTTTTAATTCATGATTTTAGTCCATTGTGATTAACAATGTATAGAATGTTTCTACCATTGTATTTTGTTACAACCCTTTTTCTCCTTTCCCTGCTTTCTTTTTCTGGTTTTTGGGTGAATGGTGGACAATATATATGAAATAATGGAGAGATGTTGGGTGATACTGTCTTCTTCTGGAGAGGATCTAATGTTTTTCTGGGTGCTACTTATAGTAAGGGCAGATCACCTTGAACTAACGGGGGACTGAGTTGGTTTAAGGCTGGTTTCAGACTTTGTGAAGGCTGGCCTAGTTCCCGTTTGCCTTTATATCTAAGAAGTAGTCCTTGAGGGGTTCCAAGACCCTTCTTTATCTTTGTGAATCTCCTGAAAACTCTGCTTAGTTTTTAACCTCTTAGCAGTCACCTTCTCCTTAATGTCTTCCCCTGAACAACTTAGGATTCAGTAAGTGCCTCAAGGGTAAAAGCCACACAGAATGTCAGACTCACTTCTCTTTTGTTCCCTTTTTTACTGGAAAATTTTCCCCTCAAGTCCTGCCTGCCTTTGTAGCCCTGAACTGTAATTTTTGTCTTGTGAGCCCAGGAAAAGTTCTGCAAGCTTTAGGCCAGGGCATTCTGCTTATGTCAACTGCCCTGAGAGGAACACACCATGCAGAATGTTTGGCTCATCTAGAGCATTCCCTTTCTTTCCAGGGTCTGGCTGCTCAAGTGCTGACTGCCTTTGTTTGCCTTAGCTGATCTCTGATATCTTCAAAGACCTACTGTTTTTTTTGTTTTGTTTTGTTTTTTAAATTTTACTCAGATTTTACGTTGTTCAAATGTTTCAGTGTTCTCTGCACAGCTGTGGAAAGTGGGAGATTTAGTGTGAAATAGGCTTACTTCATCATAGTTGAAAGCTGAGGTTTTATTCTTGCATTTTTAATTTCAATCACATTTTTCCCTTAGAAATTCTATTTGGTTGGTTTTCAAATCAGCATCATCTTTTTTTGGATAGTATCCTTTTTCTATCTTATGTTTTTCCATTCCTTTCTTTATGATTTTAATCTCTTAAAATATACTTATTTTATAGTTTGAATCCTTTTAGATTATCTGAAAATCTCAGGGGTGTAATTTCACTGTGTGTTATCTGCTGACTCTTAGTTTGCATTTGCTTCTGCCAGATGCCCCAAGAGTGTATAAGCAGCTGAGAACCAATTTTTATGTTAATTTCTTGGCTTGGGATTTCTGAAGCCATACAGCTATTGCATATTTGAATCCCAAATGTGAGTGAGCAGGGAGATATGATTATGGAATAAGAAGAGAGATATTTTTTTCTCCGCTCAGAAGTTCAGACCTGTACAGATCAACTTTCTTGTCATTTTGTTTGCTTGTGAGTGGATGTTTCTTAGGTCATTCTTTCAGGTAAGGTACAAACCACATATGGGATTCTGACATATTTGTATCTATATATTCCAATTCTTCACATTTCATGGGTTCAAGGTCTTGGCTCTTGCTTCTGTGAGGCCATTAAAGCCATACCATTGCTTACTGAGCTCAGCACAACCCCCTAGGGCAGCTGAGAAATCAGTACCTACTGCCCACTCTGCTTTTCAGTTTTCTGTTTGTATAAACCCTCAGGGATTGCTTCATTTTCTTGTAAGCTCAGTTGTGCATATGTGAAGATATTTATAGACTTTATTCCACATTTTTTGGATGTTTTTTAGGTAAATGTTTTCAAGTTGTCTAGTTCTCTGTAATTCCAGAAACAAAAGTCTTAACTGACATAATTTATATTACTGGCTTATACATGTTATCTATTATTAAATATCATCATCAACATTATTATTTCTACAAATACATAAAACCTGAATATTTGGATTTAATATATATAATAGGTTATATATATATAACATTTATAGAACATATAACTATAGATGTTCTATAAAAATATGTATTACATAAATACTTTTCACATATATATTTATATATAACATAATATGTAATAGATTATATATAATAGATTACAAAGCTTTATGATAACTGGTCTATCAACTGAGTGGATGGTTAGTAGATACAGTACTATGTAGATCATGCTACAGAAACACAATACAATTTGGCCTATTGAAATAGTGTAAACCACATCACTCTTTTCCCAACTACATGTTCTGCTGACTTTAAAACTGTTTTTAAAACTCCTGTTTCCTCAGGAGAACTAGAAAATGCTATGGATTTGTAGCTATACCCATGTATATTATTTATATTAGAAATCAAAACTTTTATATTTTGCATGAAATTTTATGTCCTTTTTTGCCTTTTTGTAGGAGGATACTTCATCGAGACTTGAAATCAAAGAATATATTTCTGAAAAACAATCTGCTTAAAATTGGTAAGATTTTTAAAAATATGTATTCTAGAAACATGGGAGAATATATTCTAGATGTTATCAGTATATCACACGGAAATATATAGTACCTGGAAGTGTTAGAGTAATCACTGGTTTATTTTAACTTCTCAAACTTTTGTTTTTACTTGGGTGGGGCCAACAAAACCCAATTATTTTGTTTCTGAGTATCTGATATAAATTGAAGTGTGAGACATTTGCTATGTACTTCATAGATTGAACTAATAATTTTTGAGTTCCTACTCTATGCCAGGCACTTTGCAAGTAGTTAGTTGTTTTACTGACTTGGTTAATTAGTACAGGTTTCCTGTTTATTTTATCGCAAGCAATTAGCAGTTATCACAGATAATTAAAATATTGGTATCCTGGATTTGTTAATTTTTAGTTCTTCTTCAGAACTGTACCTCCACTCGTAACAGTTACTGGATTGTTTGTTCTTCTGTAAGATGTTCTTAGAGAGGGAAAGTCTAAAAGCATGCGACTAGTTAGATGAGTAAAGAGAAGTTAATGGATTCACATTTTTATAGTCATGTTCTTGAAGAGTCTCAGGTCTATTATTTGAAATCTTTTCTTCATTGTAAATGAAGAACGAACTCTCCCCGCTTGGATGAAATCACAAATCATTAATTCAGCCCTCCAGAATAATTTTGCTTGTTGTTAGGCAGACCTGAAATAGCTTTTTGTTTCAAGTTGCTGGTTCTCCGTAATTCCAGAAATAAAAAGCTTTAGCTTACATAATTCACTTTCCTGGCTCAGTCTTCCTTCTCCTATAAGGCCTATGTTTTTAAAGCTATTCACCAGCATTATGTAATTTAAAAGATACCATTTTTCTTTTCTTTCCCTTTAAATGGTATGAGTCATTGCATATTAAAATTGTCAGATTAGCCAGTTGTTAATTTCCAAGCTGATTTTCATTGCTTTAAAGTATTCATAAAAATTAATTATTATTCCAAGGGGATTTTGGAGTTTCTCGACTCCTAATGGGATCCTGTGATCTAGCCACCACTTTAACTGGAACTCCCCATTACATGAGCCCGGAGGCTTTGAAACACCAAGGCTACAACACAAAGTCAGACATCTGGTGAGTGGGCAGTGGGTTAGTCCAGATGATGTATACATCTGCTGCACTGAGAGAACAATGCGTTTCGTTTTAAGGTTCATTTACTTGCTACATCCACTCACTTTATCCTTTTGAAGTATGAGTCATTCTTTGACCAGAGTAAAGGAGGGTTTTTTGGATCTGGAACTTGATTATTTCCATTATATTGATTTCAAAAATTCTCTTTATTTATAGATAATTGGTTGGTTTGGATTTTTTTCTTCTTGAACCACAAAGAAAAGTTCTTAATGTATCATAAACATTAAATGTTAATAGGTTTCTGCTAGCCTATTAAATAAAGTATTTGTGGGGCACCTGGGTGGCTCAGTTGTTAAGCGTCTGCCTTCGGCTCAGGTCCTGATCCCAGGGTCCTGGAATCAAGCCCCACATCGGGCTCTCTGCTCAGCGGGAAGCCTGCTTCTCCCTTTCCCACTCCCCCTGCTTGTGTTCCCTCTCTCGCTGTGTCTCTCTCTGTTAAATAAATAAATAAAATCATAAATAAATAAATAAATAATTTGTAATCCTAAACACTGTGCTTTATTTTATTTAAGATCAACTTCCACCTCTGTGGGGAATGTATGGCTTTATTTTTTTCTTCTTGACACTTATAAGAATTTTTACTGAAGATATTAGCTTTTAAGAATAAACTTAAATGAAAAAATTTCTGGGTTTTCAATGACAGGTGCATCTGAGATTTCTCCATTTATCTGAGCTCTTGTACCAAAGGAATTTCTCATTCCTTGTCATGGAACCAGTTTAAATCTCAGTGCAGAACCCATGTGGAAAATTATATTCTATTGTTAGCAATCGATCCTATTTAGGGAAAATCTCTTTTCCTTTAAAGAGGAATCATATAATTTTCAGCTTGTTAAGGGTTGAAAGGACAATCTAGCTGAGAGCCTGTTAATTAAGTAAATAATTATTGTATGCAAATCAACTTAAGTAGTTCTGAGCTTTCAAAGATGAACAATGTGAAAGATTATGTCTACTTCATTTTTCTAAAGAGGATAAAGTAGAAAGTTACGTTTCCCGTGGTTAGGGAAAAGTAAGCACAACAGGGGATATCCCTTTGGATTTTCATAAGGGTCATTACCCATGTTCTTGTTCTGGTGCCTCCCAAGTGGGAGAGAACACTGTCAACATTAGGTCTGGCTCTGGCAGATAACCATCCATTCTGTCCCTTCAATTCACTCTTGGGATTATTCATTTCTAGGTCTTCAGTGTTTTGGTTTTTTTTCATTGTTTCTACCCTGATGGTCTTTTCCAATTTACCTATCGTATTTTCTCTAATCATAACCTTCCCCTAATACCCTCCCCCAAAACCAAAACCAAAATAATAGACAAAAACCACAAAGGTATGTTCAGGGGAATGAGTTTCTTTAAATTTTGCTTTATTGAGCATCTACTATTTGCCAGTGACTATGTAATAGCCCTTAGGGTATAAAATTTAAAAAATAATAGGATTCCTGCCCCTGAGGAAGAGTCTTCTTGCTCTTTTTAGAGTGCTTTCTTCAGTTTGAGATCAGTCTTGGGCTTTGGATTGGATTTGAGTTCCTATTTACATCTCTTTTAATACTTAATTTTTTTATTATTATGGGCATTTAAAAAAGATTCAGGCGTACCTGGGTGGCTCAGTTGGTTAAGTGTCTGCCTTCAGCTCAGGTCATGATCCCGGGGTCCTGGGATCCAGCCCCTTGTGGGGCTCCCTGTTCAGTGGGGAGTCTGCTTCTTCCTCTCCCTCTGCCCCTTCTCCCATCCCCATGCTCTCTCTCAAGTAAATAAAAATCTTCAAAAAAATAAAAATAGATTCAAATATGTAATTTCTTCATGATTAAAATTACATGCTATGCCAGAAAGATGTTTACATCATGTCATTTGAATTAAGACTAAATTAATTTATGAAGACCATCGTTAAGCCTTTGGCATTACATATAGCAAGAAAGCTGGCTCTTTGGGACGGTTATCTACATCTGCTTGCCAAATCAGATGTGTCGCTCCAGAAACTTGGGCAACAATACCCACAGACAGAGGAGTAAAGTAAAGTCTTTTTGTCTCAGTTGTGTCTATCGTAGTTATTTTTTTAAAAAACTGCTCCTAGTATTTCATAAAGATTTATAGGAATATTCCTAATATGGGAATTATAGGACTATCATAAAGAATATAGAAATTATCAGGAATATCAGAATTATAGGGATATAGAATAATACTAATAGTATTGCTATAATGTTTTAGGTTTATAAAAATAATACCTGACTCAGACAAAACTTAAAAAATCTAAAACCTCCCAAATATAAAAATACAGGAGAATTTTAATATATTTTGTGTAAGCATTAGATCAGCTCTCCTTGCAGAGATTATTAACTATTCAGCAAGTACAAGCTAAGGATTTATCATCATCCTGACCCCAAATAACCATCTTATTATGAATTTAGTAATTACCTTGGTTGTATCTGAATCAAAATGAGCTTATCTGGTAATGAAATTTTTATTGCTGAACCTAAAGTAGAAAGAATAACAGAGAACTATTAATTATAGTGGCAGATACATAAGTGTGATGAGTAATCTTTGGGAGACACTCTTAGAAAAATTATATTGAATGGGGTTGAGAATTTTTTTCTGAATCTCAGTATGTAGCATCTGTTTACTGTGGAATATTTTCTTACAATTGAAAACACTTGTGAATAATTGACAGGTGTTTTGTTTTAGCACTAATAGCTGTACATATTATATTTATAATGCTTAATGAAGAATTGGTATAATACTAATTATATTTCATCTGATAATGTTTGCACATTGTAACCTTTCCTCTCTCTGCAATCTGTTAAACCTTTTGGGATTAATTTATTTATAGCAGTCAAATACAGATAAGTCTCTCTTAAAAGTAGTTTAGGTTCCAGAAGTTTATAAACACTCAGAAAGTTAGGATAATTAAGTTCATTGAAGACAACACTTTGAATACTGCCAATTTATATAAGCAATTGCTGAACACTTTTTCCCACACAGGAAAAATATAATATATGAATTGGTTTCCTAGGCCATCCCTTTAAATTGAGTTAAATTATGAATGGTTAGAATTTATTATTTTGGTAGGAGAAACAAAGGACAATACTATTGGAATAATGGTGCTATAATTAAACAGAAAATAAACAGAATATTTCATTGTTGGTGTTATCTGTCTTGTTGTGAGAAGTCAACCAGATAGTTCTTGATTTTGTGGCCCTATATTTTTTAGGTGATTTAAGTGGAGGGAATGTTGGTGGGAATAGTAGGGGTGTCAGAGTAAACTGTGAAGGTCTCAGGATTTTGTAAAAACCTGAGATCTGGTCCAAGGGTTAGCTACATAAGGGACACTGTAAGAGTCTAGTTCACACTCAACCCTGGAGTCAGACTTTAGTGATGTTGGGCAAAAACGTCAGACAAGGCTTAGCTATAGGTAGACGAAAACAGAGAGGAACCAGTACCTGCCTGACCTACAAGAACTAAGAAAGTATCCTCACAGGAGAGCGTTCCCAAATTGGACAGGGAAAGGGAGCAGGGTGGGATTTAGGGAAGGGAGAAATACAGGCCAACTTGGCAGCAGTTTTTGTAGCTAATGTGGGGCCCGTAAGTAGCTGGTAGCCAACAGCCCCATCTTGGTGAAGGACGCTCTGGAGCAAGAGAGCCCATTTCTCTCCCCTCCCATGGTCTGAGAAATTCTTTCTCTCTTTTTTTTAATTTTATTATGTTATGTTAGTCACCATACAATACATCATTGGTTTTTGATGTAGTGATCCACTGTCCATTGTTTTCGTATAACACCCAGTGCTCCATGCAGCACGTGCCCTCCTTAATACCCATCACCGGGCTAACCCATCCCCCCTCCCCCCTCCCCTCTAGAACCCTGTTTGTTTCTCGGAGTCCATAGTCTCTCATGGGTCATCTCTCCCTCCAATTCCCCCCCCCCCTTTTCCCTTCCTTCTCCTAATGTCCTCCATGCTATTCCTTATGTTCCACAAGTCTGAGAAATTCTTATGTGGATTTAGAACTAAGCTGTTGGGCAGGGCATGCCTCCCTAGGGAGTGAGAACTGGTGTCATTGTCATTATTTTCACTCAACAGAAGCTGAAGTAGGAAAACATTTCAGTCAAGTGCAGTAGATTTGGGTAATAATATCTTTTCTCAATGACTAGCATAAAATGACTGATACAAAATCTGAAGATAATATCTAGCCTGGTCACTTTTACAAAGGTCACAATACAACTGCAGCAACAGATCCAGAATTGCTACTGTCTATGGAATGTTTACTCTGTGATTGACAGTTAATGTGCTAAGTGCTTTATATACCTATATAAATGTATTTGTTACTACAAAAAAAAGCATACTATATATATTTTACAACCTGCCTTTTTTTTACTTGCAAAAGGAAATACTGTACTGCCTTAACAAAATATATCTAACTATCATTTAAATGTTTGCATAGTATTTTATACTTGGACACAATAATTTTTCAACCAATGCTTATTAAATATTGTTTGATGTTTTCTTTGAAGATTTTCTCTTTGTTTTCGTCTTTAAGCATTTTTAGGCACAATGTATCTGGGTGTGGATTTACATTTATCCTACTTGGAGTTAGTTAGTTCAGCTTCTTGGACATGTAGATTAATGTAGTTCATCAAACTTGAAAAATTTTCAGCCATTATTTCTTTGAGTATTTTTTTCTCTTTTCTCTCTCTCCTTGCCTTCTGGTACTCCCGTTTTGTGCATGTTGTTGTGCTTCATGGTCTCTCACATTTCTCTAAGGCATTGTTAATTTTTCTTCATTTTTCTCTCTGTTCTTTAGATTGCATAATGTCTGTCAATCTATCTTCAAGTTCATTGATCCTTCTGCTTGTTAAAGTCTACTGTTGAGCCCCTTTGGTGAATTTTTTATTTCAGTTATTATACTTTTCTTTTCTTTTTTTTTTTTTTAAAGATTTTATTTATTTATTTGAGAGAGAGAGAATG